CCCCTGGGGCTGCCCCCAGGAGCCACGACCAACCAGGGACCGACCAGGGACGAACCAGGGACAGCCGCGCACGGCAGGCAGAGGCGGGGCCGAGTCCCCGCGGCAGCATCTGCGTACCAGAAAGCTGTCAGGGAAAAACAGCCTCAGAGCCCGGCTTCTCCGCCAGCCTCATTTCCAGTAACCGCGCGTTTCCGGCCGTCAGCACCTGAAACCAAGGGGGGAGGCCCCTGGACGGAGCCTTCCCGCTCGCACCCCCACAGGCAGCCCCCAGAGGCCAGACCCGGCCGGCCCCGCCCACAACCGGCGGGACACTCAAGGCAGAAAGACCCCTCCTCCCGCCAGGGCGCCCTGCAGGGACCGCCTGGAGCGACGTGGCCTCCCACGCGGCTGTGGCGCAGGCTGACGGAGGCAGAAGTCTAGGGCCAAGCCACACCTCAGCGCCCAAGCGTCCTCCCAGCCCCGCGTCCCCCGTCCGGGCCTAGGGACTCCCAGGTGTGTGAGGGGGAGGGGGAGCCCACCTCTCAAACCCCGGCCTGTCCACACACAGACGGGCGGCACCTCGGGACCCGCCTCCCCGCGGCACTGGCTCAGGGAAGGGCCAGGCTGGCCCCCTGCGCTGCTGGGGATCCCCTGGCTCGAGAGCACCCCACAAACAAGGACACCCAGGCAGGCGACAGGGGAAGCCCGACGACCGTGGGGTGACAAACAGCCCCGTCTACCCAGGAGGCCAGGGCCCCCGGAGCTGGCCGCAACCCACGCGGTGGGAGCCGCAGGTGTCCCTGGCGGAGCTGAGGGCGGCCCGCAGTCCTGCCCGAGACCCGGGAGCGGCCGGGGCGTCTGAGACCACTCAGAGACAGAGGGCAGGCCCCACGTCTGGACTGTGTCCACTGACGGCCCAGAGCCTGCACCCCTGGCCGGTGCCCGGCCCCAGAGGAACGAGGCCGGGCGCCACACCGCAACCCAGCCCGCCTGGGACACACGCGCACGCCCAGAACAGGCAAAGCTTGGGAGTGGCTGTTTTCGGGGACAGCTTCAGCGTGGGGTGACAAAAACGTCCTGCTCCCAGAGTCCGGGGTTGAGCTAAATGCCACCAAAGCGCCCCGAATGCCATCGGACCGTGCCCCAAGTTCCACGCTGACTACGGTTGAAGGGCAGGCTTCCTGCTATGCCTAACTGACCACTACCGACAGCCATCCAGGCCTCGGGGGAGTGGGGTGAGGGCCCAAGAAGGGTGCCCCCCGCCCTCCCAGCCTGCTCCGGCCATCAGGGGAGCACACCTGGGCCGGGGCAGGCCCCAGCCTGGCAGAAGCTGCCCGCCGGGGCCGTCCTGACTCCCAGGGGTCAGCCTGGCTGCACGTCCCTGCCGCAGCAGAGGGGCCCCGCCCCGGCCTGGACAGGGCAGGCAGGCCCGGGCCCACCGCCAAGACGCCCAGGGGCAGCCGCTCGTTAAACCTGGGGATGTGAGGGGCAGGACCCGCCCGCACCGCCCGCCTCCGTCTTCCCACCTGTAAACTGGGAACAAGACGGACCGCGCCCACCACCAGCAGCGCCTGCCAGGCTTCCGCGAGGCCCGAGCCGGGGCCGCGTCTGCCCAGGCCGCCGTACCCCGCGTAACCCAGGAAAGCAGCACGCAGCCGACTGCAAAGCCACATCCTCTCGCTATTTATAGCCAAGACATGAAACAGGAAAGGTCCCCTCCCCACACCAGGATGGCGCAAGCAGCCCTGGGCCCTCCACGGGGGCCTTCAGCCTGCGACGCCCCCCACGTCAGGGGTCCCGGCCCCAGCAGCTGGGCCACTCCGTGGGGGGCCGCCCCAGCCTCTTCTGCCAGGTCACACGTCTGTCCCGTCCCGCTCTCCACTTGTCCTTGCCCTTCAACGGCAAAGTGCGGGTTGCAGGGACCTTCCCTGGAAGAACCCTGGGCCCCGGCCACCCCCCCACTTTCCACCTGACGCCGCGTCTGTGCTGTTCTGACCACATCCTGGAGGCCCAGGTGCGACACAGACCAAGGCCGGCACTGTGCCTCCCCGGGGCCTGGCTGGGACGTGCAGGTGACTGGATGGAAACAGCCAGACAGGGGTGACAGGGACAGCTGGCGTCCAGGGCCCGGTCACTTCCCACCAGGCCCGTAAGGGAAGCCACACCCCCAGCCCCACTTCCTCGCAGAGCGGCTGGGAAGCGGCTGGGAAGTGGCTGGGGCGGGCGGGCGAGCGCACCAGAGGGGCAGGGCGGCCACACGCAGCACCAGCTGTGCGACCCCAGGGCCACCGCCTGACCCTGACATCAGGCCACGCCAGGCCCGATCCCGCTAGTCACGCGAGCTGGAGGCCATCCCGCCGCCTTCAGCCCACCCTGGACGCTGACTGAGTATGGGTGAGGCTGGGCCTGCCGCGTCCCCCGCGTGGGTCCCACAGGGCTGGTGTCGCCGTGCCGCGGGCTCAGCACCCCCATCAGAGCGCTGGTTCCAGTTCTGGCTGCTCTGCTCCCGACCCGATGCTGAGCTCCCGGCGTGGGGAGGCAGCAGCCGCCAACCCAGGTGCCGGTGCCGTGGTCCCCGCTACCCGTGTGGGAGACCTGGGCGTGTTTCCAGGCCCTGGCTTCAGTGTGGCCCAGCCCTGGCCGTTGTGGCCGTCTGGAGAATGAATGAGGGTGGGGGGTCTTGTTCTCGGTTCTTCCAAATTCCTAAACTGTTTTTAAAATGTCGCAGGAAGCAAGGGCCGCTGGGACTAGCACCGCCACAGGTAGCAGAATCACAAAATCACAAGCCCTCCCCAAGCAGGGCCTGGGCCTGCGCCCCCCCGCCCGCTCTGAGTTAGTTCACGAACCACATTAATGTCCCAGGGACAGGAACCGACAGCAGCTGGGGCTCCCAGGGAGGCCGGGAGGGAAGGGCCTCTCACCTGGTGCCAGGCCACCCGCCCCCTACAGGGCAACTGGGAAGTAGTCCCACTGCACAGATGGGAAAACCGAGACCCGCGTGCCCTGATGACCAGGTCACGGAGCTAGCGGGGCGCCGAAGCCAGGGCTGGACACGGGGCGGCCCAAAGCTAACGCCCACTACCCCCTTCTCCCCCGGGGAGCTCCGGCACGAGGGACCACTCCACTTCGGGGGCTCCCAGAAGATGCCCATCTCCCAGCCCAGAGGCCAGCAGCCCTGGACAACACAGCCCACCCCAACGGTCGCTCTGCTCCTGGGGGCTCTCCGGCATCCCCAGCACCGGACGGAGCCACCGTGGCCACCACACATGGCAGCTGCCAGAGGCCACGCCCACCTGCCCCCAGGTTGCAGCCCCTCCACAGTCTCGGGGCTGCACCTCCTGGGACGGCGCCAACGGACACGGCTCCTTCCGCCTCTGAGCCCCGCAACCACCTGACCGGCCGCCCGGGACGGCTCCTTCTCCCCGGGATGGGAAGAGGTGATTCACCGGGGACAGGCGAGCCGCCGCCTGATCCGTTCCCATGCCCTCTGCAGGGGAGTCAGCACCATGAGTCCAGAACTTTCCAAGCACGGAGCCGGGATGGGGCCGGCGGGCTCGGGAGGCCCCACGCCAGCTGCCTCCTTGGGAAGAGGGTGGGATTCTCCCCTGGGCCCCCATGGGCCCCCCGTGGGCTCTGGCCAACTCCTAGACAGACCTTCCGGGGCCTTCTGAGAAGGCTGGGCGGGAACCGGGAGGCAGGGCGGCCCACGGGGGGGGGGGGCAGTGAGAGTCCCCGGACCTGCGTCCCTCGGAGGCCCTGCTGCCCAGGGGTGGGGGCCTCTGCCCACGGCGCTTCCGTCCTGCCTTCCAATTGGCTCTGGGGGGTGGCGTGGGCACAATGAGGCCTCTGTGGCAGAGCTCGGCTGAGCGCCAGGCCCAACTGAGGCAGGCTTCCCGCCGGGCCCGGGCAGGGGACTCGGGGGGCGCGCGCCCGGCACCGCCCTCCCAGGAAGGTTCCCAGCCCTGGCCCGCGGAGCGCCGAGCGCCGAGGCAGCGAAGGGCGTAATTAATCACTCGGCATTAATCCGCCTCCCCAACAATAGCGGCTGCGCGGCCGCTGAAGCCCAGCTGTCGGCCCCTGAATGAAAGGAAACGAGATTTAGGGCCGCCAGCGTCCGCGAGGCTTCTGCACGGGCAGGGCAGCCCCAAAAGCCAGGGGGTAGAGGAGCCGGCATGCATTCATTAGTGCCTGACAAAGACACAATCCGCTTTGTCCATTAAACTGCACGCAGACGGCCTAATTGGCTTCGGCGTGGGGGGGGCTGCCGGCCCACAGGCTGGGCACCGGGGCGGCAGGAGCCGCCGGGGTTGCCACGGCAATGGGCCCTTGGGCGGTTGGAACGAGGGCGCCCACGGCTGGGGAACTCCCTCCGGTTCCAGACGCCTCTTCGTTATTCTGGTCAGGGACGAGCTGAACTTGACGGGCGCCGGCCGGGGGCCGACGGGGGGCTCCCGGGCAGGCGGGCGGCCGAGGAGGAGCACATTCCAAGACATCCCGGCCTCCGCCCGCCCACGCCACCCCGAGTCTGGGAGGTCAGAGGCTGCAGATGCCGAGACAGGAAGCAAACTCCCCGCAGGCGGCCCCACATCCCACAGCCCCAGGAGCTGGGTGCAGCCCGGCACCCCGGGCCCAGGGAGGGCTCTGGGCCGAGCAGGGGGTGGGTTTTGTTTGGAGCTGTTTCCTGCGCAGGGGAGGCGGCTCCCCAGGTGACACAGTGGGGGAGGACACACAGCACCCCCCCACACCCACCGTGTCCCAGGGTCTTCAGGAATCAAGGGGCGCCAGGGGTCGCCCCTCGACCCCGAAGCACACTGAGACCTCCAGCGGCCAGACCCGCGTGCGGCATAATTGCTGGTGATTAAGTAATTGCCAGGCTGGGTCCAATAAAAGTCAGCACGTGACCCAGCCGGCCTTCTGGGCTATCCCCAGAAGACAATGGCCCAGTGTTCCGGGCCGCAGCAGGCAGGGGCTCGGCTCCCCACCAAGGCAACAGGTCCCCGGCGCGACGCGGCGGTACTCACACGCAGGCCTCCGTGCCGTTGGCCACTTCACACCTGCCACCATTCATGCAGCTCTCCCCGGGCTGGGAGCATCTCGGGCCTGGGGAAGTGGGGGAGAGAGGGTGGTTACCGGGGCTTCCCGAGGGCCCACCCCTCGATTCCGGGGCATGAGCGTGGGGTGGGGAGCGGCCGGGGCCACAGCCCGCCCCGATGAAACCCGGGGGCTTCAGTGCTCTGGCCCAGGGTCTGTGCCCAGAGGTGGCCAGGCCTGGGAACAGGTGGGCGAGGCCAGCAGGTGAACTGGTGGGGAGGGGCAGCTGGAGCCCCCCCCCCCAAGCTGGGTGCTGGGGAGCCCTGGAGGGCGGGGGCCCCGTCCAGCCACCCAGATTGTCTCGTGCGAACGCGATCTGCCAGGGCAGCCCCCACTCGTGGGAAAATGCGACAGCTGCGCCCCCGCCGCCCCGCCCGCCGACAAAGCGCCAGGCGCGGAATCAGAGCGGCCCATTGTCGCCGGGGCCGCCTCCGGGGCACGGGGACAGCGCCCGGGGCCGCCCCGCCTCCGCCGACACCCAATACCTGCCCCCGCGGCGGGCGTCTCCAGGGGCAGCCCCGCCACGGCCCCCGGAAGGCGGCTGCGGAGCGCGCGCGCGCGACCCCCGCGCGCGGCTGCCACGGGACGGGTGTGAGCTGGAACCCACTTTGTGGGAGGGGGTACCGGACAGGTCATTCTCACGCCCCGGAGTTCCCGACGGGAGCGCGCGGGAACCAGCGCCCCAGCCCGCGCGCCGCCCCCGCGGTTTCCAAACTTCAGCTGCGGAGAGCGACCGAAAACTCCAGGTCCCGCCAGGCACGGGGGAGGCCTCGGCGCATCTCCCACCCCCACGCACCCGCCCGCGAGCCGGGCTGCGCGACACGCGCCGCGCGGCCCCGGACCCCGCGCCCCGCGCCCCGACATCCGGGCGCAGCAGAGAACACAAGCGGCCCCGACAAGCAACAGGAAGCCAGAGGGACTCGACTCAAACCGAGAAGCGGCGGGCGGCCGGCGGCGCGCCCCGCGGGGCCCCCACGGCCCCACGCCCGGCTCCGACCCCGACCGCGGAGCGGCGCCCCGACGAGGGGCGAGCGGCAGGGGCCGGGCCGCCGCTCCCTGCCCCTCCAGGGCCCGATCCCCCACGCGCGCCCGCGCGCGAAGTTTCCGGGGAACGCGGGGAGTTGCGGGCCGCGGCGGGCGGGCGCCTACCTCTCGCGGCCAGCGCGGGCAGCAGCGCCAGGCAGAGCAGGGGCGCCGGCAGCGGCCGCATGCCTGCCCGTCGGCTGCCCGCTGCCCCGGGCGGCGGCTCCCACGCACACGCGCGCCCGACGGTGCGGCGGGCGGGTCCCGCTCCCTCCCGGCCGGCGGCGCGCTGCGCTCTCGCAGTGTCCGGGCCGGCTCGGCGGCCGCTCGCCCCTCCGCAGCGCCCGCGCCCCTGCGCTCCCGCCCGCGGCCGAGGCACGAGTGAGGCGCGGGGCCGCGCCGCGCTCCGCCCCCGCCGGGAGAGCCGCCCCCCGCCCCGCCCCGGCCGGCCCCGCCCCGCGATCCCTCCGCACCCCGCGCCCCGTCGCGGGCCGCGCGTCCCTGCGCGCGCGCCCCGGGCGGCCCCGCGCCCCGCGGCCTGGGGCGCGCGTCCGGAGCCGGGCGCTGGGCGGCGGGGGGCCGCGGCGGCGCGGGGCGGGCGGCAGCGGGCGCCCGGGGACTACTTCTCGCTCTCAAGTTTTCGGAGGCCGAAAGTTTGAGCCGGGGCTGCGGAAGGATCCGCCCGGGCCGTCGCCTCGCGCGGCGACAGGGGGGCGCGATTTGCATCTCAATAGCCGAGGCGGCGCGGGCGTGGCGGGGCAGCTCGGTCCGGCGGGGCCCTCGGAGCTGGGCCGGAGCGAGGCCTGGCGCGGGGCTCGGTGCGAAGCCTGGCTGCGTGGTTGGCCCGGCGGCTGCGCCCTCCGGGGCCTCGAGGGTAACAGCCCGGAGGATGGCGACCAGACCCCCCACCCCCAACCCCGGTCACGATGACCTTGAGGGCTGATGGCGCCGGGGCCCCTGGAGAGAGGGGCCAGGGCCTGGCGCGGGCACGCGGTGGTGCAGGGAGACCCGGGGCTGTCACGCGCACAGCTGCTCCCACGTGTCCCGTCGGGCGGCCGGTTTTCCGCGCGGCAGTGCTAGCGCGTCCCAAGTGTGCCTGCCTTGGCCAGTTCACGCCGCAGCCGGGGCAGGGGGGCGCAGAAAGCTGGGAGCCGAGCGGGGCAGCCCTGGCCCAGGGGGGCGCACGCAGGCTGGCGCTCTGCGCACCTGACCCGCTGCCTTCTCTGGGCACACCTGTCTCCGGGAGACGGCGGCGGCTCTGCGGCGGGGGGCCCGCTCCTGCCTTCCCAGAGCCAGAGCTGGGGTAGCACCTCGGGGTCAGCGCCCCGGAGGCAGCGCCGCCATGTTTATGTAACAGAGCCCTGCAGCCCATAGAAGGAAGAGCCGGGCTGCGCGGTCCGCACCCGGCGCCGCCCCTGCTCCCGCCGGGGTGGGGAGGGGGCCGGGGCTTCCGCTGGAGCCCTGCAGAGTCCCTGATCCCTGGGGCGGCCTGAACGGAAGGAGGGGAGCCCTGGCCTGGGGTCCTCCCCAGCGCTGCGGCCAGCACCTCCACTCTCAGCCTCTGCCCTCGGCCGGCAGGGAAGAAGGTGGCAGACCACAGACAGGGCCCTGGGTGTGCAGTAGGAGGGAGGCCCCCAGGGCCTGGGGCTGGGGCACCCACGTGGCAGGGGCTGGGCCCTCATCCACGCAGGAATGAGGCTCTGCGACCCCCCAGCCCCTCTTTACGGAGCCAGGGGGTGGGGGCTGAGGAAAGCGGTCCAGACCAACCAGGGCCACGTCCTGGTGGCAGGGCCTGGAGACCCCCTCTGCCAGTGCAGGCTGCTTGGTGACCCCGTGCTGGGGGGGTTGGGAGCCGACACCTGGGCAGGGCGTGCGGGGCAGCCAGGCCTCCTCTGTGGGAAGCCGCTGAATGGAAGGGCCTGCCGTTCCCCAGGCTGCCCTGGGAGCCGGCACCACCGAGGCGGGGTGCATCGGTCACTTCCTCCCCTTCAGACACGCCGGGGCGCCCTCGTCAGGGCTGGGGTGGCCGGGCTGGCACTGGCCTGGTGTGAGGGGAGAGGCCAGGCCCGGTCAGAGCTGAGCGCAGCTCTGTGGACGTGGAAGGTAAAGGCGTCCTCGCTCGGCGCCGGGTGCACGTCTGTGTGTGCTCACCCTGCACTGTGAGGCCAAGCGCAGCCTCTGAGCGGAGCCGGGCACTGCGCACGCAGGGGTGGGGGTCAGCTGATGGGGCCGTGTGTGTGTGTCTGTGTGTGTGTGAGTGTGTGTGTGTGAGTCTCTGTGTGTGTGTGAGTCTGTGTGTGTGAGTCTCTGTGTGTGTGTGTCTGTGTGTGTGTGTGAGTCTGTGTGTTTGTGTGAGTCTGTGTGTGTGTGTGAGTCTGTGTGTGTGTCTCTGTGTATGTATGAGTCTCTGTGTGTGTGTGAGTCTCTGTGTGTGAGTGAGTCTCTGTGTGTGTGTGTATGAGTCTCTGTGTGTGTGAGTCTCGGTGTATGTGTGAGTCTGTGTGTGTGAGTCTGTGTGTGAGTCTGTGTGTGTGAGTCTCTGTGTGTATATGTGCATGTGGTGTGTGAGCATGTAGATATGTGGGGTATATGTGTGTGGCGTGGAAGCAACATATATACATATTGCAGGTATGTGGGGGTATATTATGTATCTGTGTGTTTATGTGTATGTATATGTATGTGGGTGTATGTATGTGTGTTCATATGTGTGAGCATGGGGGGGCAGCATGCTAGGGCACCTGGGAGGGCAGCAGTGATGGTCCAGGTCCTTGGGCCCTGCACCCACGTGGGAGACCCGGGTGCAGCTCCTGGCTCTGGCTTTGGCCTGGCCCGGCCCTGGCCGTTGCAGCCACTGGGGGAGTGAACCCGTGGACGGAAGGCCTCTCTCTCTCTCTCTCTCTCTCTCTCTCTCTCTCTCTGCCTTTCAGGTACGTAAACAAATCTTTGAAGTGACTGTAAAAAGTATCAGAACTGCTTCGAGGAGACGGCCCTCCCCAGGCTGCCCCCGGCCACTCGCGAGTCTGCCCCGTCTGTCTGCCCCTGCCGGGCGGTGCCCTCTCTCCGCCTGGAGGCCTGCATTCCCCAGAGGCCGGCGCTGGGCCTTGCCGAGGCGGGCGGCCCCGGGCTGGACCCTCCGGCTGTGCGGGCAGGGCCGGCTGGCGCCTTGCAGCTCTGCCCTTCAGATAGACTTGGGCCGGCCTCAGAGGCCTGTACACAGGCGCACACACAGTGCACACACAGACGCACACTGCACACACATGGCACACACGTGCGCGCACGCACCCGTGCACGCACAGGCGCACACATGCACACACAGGCGCACACACGTGCACACACACAGGCACACACGTGCACACGCGGGGAGGACGGAGGTCCATCGTCAGGGCAGGGCCTCCAGCTGGCTGCCCGCCCTGCCCGTGCGGGAGGGGCCTCCTGCATCTCCCCGGGCCAGCTTTGCCAGGCCCTCGGTGCCCACTCTGCCCGCCCTGCCTGCCCGGAGCCCTCCAGGCCCCCTGCAGAGACCGGAGGCACAGCCCTCCCTGCCGGGTCCTACGCACAGACACACACACAGCGCATGTGCACACACGGGCACCCCAGCTTTGCTGCCTGGGACGGGGTGAGGGCACGTGCTGCAGGGTCAGCTGGCCTCCCCCAGCCCGTGGCCAGCCACAAGTGCAGTGGCCCCAGGTGCAGCCGGGACTCTGCCCAGGCACCGAGCAGGGCAGGGGCCAGCACGGCCCTGCTGATCCCCTGGCCCAGACACCGGGGCACGCGTTGCCCGGGCAAGTTCCCAGACAGGTACCGGGCTCCCGAGCCGGCTTCCACGAGGCAGGATGGGCCGGCCCCCCGGGCAGTCTGGCATTGCCACTCCAGAGGTGGGGCGCAGGGTGGGCGGGACGGCTCAGCCTGATGGGGACCACTTCCCTCCCCTCTTCTGGGGCCTCAGGGCACAGACCCCACCTGCGGGTGCCCCAGAGGCGGCCCCTGGCCCTGGGCATGGCCTCAGAGGAAGGGCCTCTTGCCTCTTCCCACCTCGCCAGCCCCCAGGGCCCTGCAGCTGCCCACGGGCCTGGACTGAGCTGGGTCTAGGCTGTGCCCTCTCGGGGAGGTGAGTGGTCCACCCATGGAGCCCCAGGGGGTCAGAAAAGGCGGCGCCCAGCTGGGGCCCCAGGAGTGTGTGGGTCGAGGGGTACATGAGGAAGGCAGGGCTCTGGGGCCGGAGCTGTGGCATAGCGGGTTAAACTGCCACCAGGTGCCCATATGGGCGCTGATTCGAGTCCCGGCTGCTCCACGTCCAATCCAGTTCCCTGCTGTGGCCTGGGGAAGCAGCGGAAGATGCCCAAGTGCTCGGGCCCCTGCACCCACACGGAGACCAGCAAGAAGCTCCTGGCTCCTGGCTTCAGCCTGGCACAGTCCTGGCCGTTGTGGCCATTTGGGGAGTGAACCAGCGGATGGAAGATTCTCTCCCTCCCTCCTTCCCTCCCTCTCCCTCCCTCTCTCTCCTTCCCTCCCTCCCTCCCTCCCTCTCTCCCTTGCTCCCTTCCTCCCTCGCTCCCTCCCTCTCTCCCTCCCTCTCTCTTTGCCTTTCAAATAAATAAAATAAATCTTTAAAAAAGGACCTGGGGGCTTTGCCGGTGGCAGCGTGGGCACGGCGGCTCAGGACCTGTGCCCTCCCGGTGGGAGCTGACGGAGCCCCCGGGGTCGCTGGGGCTCTGAGGGGGGTCAGCCGGCCTGGCCTGGCCCTAGGCCCAGCTCAGGACCTGCAGAGGCTGTGGGGCTGTGGGGAGGGGGAAGCCTCCATCCAGCCTGGCCCCCTGCCCAAGCAGCTCAGAACTTTCTCCAGGAAGAAACGGCCTCAGGGGACGAAACTGCAAGGCCCCGCCCCTGGGCGCTGGGAACTCGGCCCCCCCCAGGGCTGGGGCTGAGTCACTGGGAAGCCACCGCCTCCTCCCCTCCCCTCCCCTCCCCCTTCCTCTTCCTTCCCCCTTCCCCTCCTTTCCTTCCCCTCCCTCCCCTCCCTCCTCCACCTTCTCCCCTCCCCTCGACCTCTTCCCCCTCCTTCCCTCCCCTCCTTCTTCCCTCCCCCTCCTCCCCTCCCCTCCTCCACCTTCTCTTTTGCTTCCTTCCTCTCCCTCTTCTTCCTCCCCATCCCCTCCCCCTCCCTCCTCCCCTCCCCTCCTCCCCCTCCCCTCCCCCTTCCTCTCTTTCTCCCCCTCCTCTTCCTCCCTTCCTTTTCCTCCCTCCCTCCCCTCCCCTGCCTCACTTCCCCCCTCCCCTCTGCCCTCCCCCCTTCCCCCCTTTCCCCCTCCCTACCCCCTTCCTTCATTCCACGGTGGAGAGTGGCTGGAAAGCTCATTTTAATTTGTTTGGAAAGC